GTACTCAGTTGCATTGATGTCGCTTTATAAATCGAGATTATTTATTCTTGTATATTATCATAGAATTTCAATGTCTACTGAAGTAAACTTATTTCAAACACATGTATTGATTCTAAATTCTCGTTTTAGAAACGGATTTCTTTATCTTGAAATAAAAGAAAAATGTTCTAATGATAAGTTACTTTTTCAAAATGATAAACATATGTATCAAAAGTTAATAATGATAATAGAATTAGAATTCCAATTTCAGTTGCTTTCGTAACACGACATAATTGTCCTTTAAATTCCGGTAAATGGACTGCATCGTATAATGAATTTTCACTAAACAAGAAATAAAGATTACTTTAAATTAAATTCGGTTTCATTTTTAAATTTCATACCGATAAATGTGGTACATTGGATGCTGCACAATTGTTAAATGGGTAATATTCATCATAATTTAATGGATGTTCATCAATTGGATTTTTTTCACAAACATTTAATACTCTTCGTGTCTAAACAAAATAATACAAAAAAAATTTATTTTTTTGTTCCCCTTCTAAAATAATTCAATCAAAATTATGTTTCATCTAACAAAGAATAAACTCAATTGTTTCCAATAAATCAAAAACACATGAACAACTTCAATCAACAGATTTGATATATCTTGAGTGCATTAAAGATATGTTTTCTTTCTTGTTTTTTTGGTTTATTTTAAAACCTTTCAAAGTTGAAGTCAAGAAAGAATGAGAGTATTTGGTTTGAAAATGAAAGATTAATACTAAAACAGAAAATCTATTGAGTAACATCAGGTGTTGGTTCCAATTCCAATAAACGTTTGGTGAAGCTTGTTGCAGTTGTATAAATTTTTAATTTAAATGCTTGATTAACTGCAGATTTTAATTTTATGATTTTGTGCATTGATTGTAATTGTCAATGAGTAAAACAGGCAACTAATTCATATCAACGTTTTTCATCATCTTTCGCTAAATCTTCGTTTTTGTCATTGACATTTGTAAACCAACAATATATTCTTTACATATTTCAATTCATTGTTCATCTTGAAATTATTCGTTTTTTGTTAAACAATAAGCAATTTGAAGGCGTCTAACTAATTTTTCTAATTTTAATCCAAGTAGTAGATACAATAATGTTGGTCAATGTTCATTACGCCTTAATAATTAAAATAACTTTAAAATATTTATGAAGTAAACAAATAATTTATATATTTGAATAAAAACATACAAAATCAGATGATAATTCAATTTCAGTATCACCTCAACTTACACCTTCAATTTTTATTGCATCATCAGTCCAATCTTCACCACTTCTTGCTATTTCATCAATATGAAGGTTTGCAGCAAGTTTTGCTGTTCTGTTTGATATTAAACCTGCTTTAATTCTTGTTGACTTCTTGGACATGGTGGTAAAATTAATTTAGCATGTAGATTTGTTTCAAGTAACTAAAAAAATATATTTTATTTTGAATTATGAAATTTAACACGAGATTAATATTGATTAAATGTATGTCTATCTTAATACTTCATATCTAACATATCAATTAAATAAAGAACAAGTAATAACATCTTTGTTGAAATCTCAGTCTATCGACCTATTTCTTTTTTGACATAGAATATGAGAAGTCTTCTTACTTTTTTAAAATCTACATTCAAATGGATATCAATCAAAGCAGGAACACTAAATTAACTATGACATGGTAATTTCTTGTAATCTATTTTCAAAAAAATCTTATCTGTCAATATCAAAAGCAACATCGATAATTATCATAAACTTCTCTATCCAATAGTACGGGAAAATCTTTAGATAAAGGATATGGGGTGCGTCCTTTTTCGTCCTTAATCATGTGTCAGGATGTAAGGAAGATAAGGACGAAAAAGGACGCACCCAGGATATGCTAGACATAATTAAACATTCTTAGATATTATTTAGAATCTCAAAAGAATTGATATGCTGGCACGAAAATTTATAACTAGATTTCAGGACTTTTAGCTGAAAATATTAGAAAACTATAAAATTTTCTATATTGTTTTGTTTTTTTTTCTAAAGACCTTCAGAAGAAGTATTAAGATGAGAACTTTTTTTTGTTGTCAATAATAAATTACTTTTTCATCAAGTGATTCCAGTGTACAAGAAGCGCAACAAATTTAATAATTTTCTCTTAGAAAAAAGAAAAGAACAATCTAAAATCTTACTTTGATTTCATTGTCTAAGAAGTTTAATGCATCCTTCAACATCTCCTAATAGCATTGGAATCTGATCGTGTAAATAAATAAAAGTTAATTTTTCCCAACAATCTTTACCATCTAATTTTGGTCGAACTTCTATATGAAAACAAAAAAACAATATTTTCATTAACTTTTGTTCTATAAATAGGTAAATCAACTGTACAAATAACTCCATGATCACCATTAATAAGGGCATACTTTATCATTTGACCATATTGCTTTTTCTTATACTTGTTAATGAGCACTTTTGTTGAGCATCATATAAAATAATATCATAATTTTCACGAATTAATAAAAGACGTGTACCAACCTAAAAAATTAATGAAAAAATTTAAAAAAAGAAACAAATTTAAACTTACAATATAATTTTTTTATCAAGAAAAATAAATTGATTTCGAGCAACCCATATAACAGCATTCAAATCAGACAAATGACGCCCTTCAGATTGACAAGTTGCAATAATTACAATAAATTCATATTTTACATATTAAAAAATGCGAAAAAAATGATAAAAATTTTAACATGTTGCTGCTGATCTATCGAACAAAGAGAAAAGAATTCAATGATGAACACATACTTGAATATTGTGTGTTCGTCTGCTTCGTGTGCTCACAAACGAACATGACACAGACAAGAATGAAAAACAGGCCTAGACAATAATGTTTTTTTTCTTTTCTTCTCTCGTCCGTAAGTTATGCTTCATGTTGTCATTGATGATCAATGATAATATGACATAATGAGTGTGTACGTCAATTAAGCATTATCCATACACATACATTGAGATACTGTGATTGACTTTATCTCAATGTATGCGTGTATGTTGATAATAGCTTAATTTTTATCATCTTTTCATCACTCTCTGACGAGAAAAAAAAAAGAAAATTATCGACTTTTTAACGTATAAATATGAATGATTTTCCATGTAAAAATCATTCAATTTATTGAATCAAATTCTAATCTTTTCTTTTTATATTTTAGAATGATTTCGACGATACAAAATTATACAATTCAAATCAATACAACACAATAAAAAAATGTAGGTATCAGTTTTTTTTTTCTTTATTAGATCATACAGAGGGTGGTAAGTCCTCTTGTGATCTTTTATATTCATGTTTTTCTTTTTCTTTTCTTTGTTGAGATGAGAATAGTTAGGGTGAGTGAGGTACGTTGAGTTTAGGGTTTCGCTTTATAAGAAGGACTTCCGGGTAGTCCCTAAAAGCCTGGCCAGGAACTGTCTTGGTGTCCGTGGCACACGATCGGACCCCCCAGACTCACTGACATATGACATCGGATGGATGCATGTGGATGATGTGGGTCTTCCCGCGCGTGCATGAGCTTTACGCTCGCCACGGCTCCACCAGGATGGTTCCTGGTCGCGCGCGCGCGAAGAGAATAGAATAGCTATGAATTCATTTTTTCATTCAATCACGATTTATTTGAAAGAGAAAGAGAACAAAAAATAAAATAAAATTCATCATCGTATTGAATTTCATATGATATTAAATTTTTGTAGTCGAGCATTTCCATATTCGGCGACATAGAGATTACCATGTCGATCGAATGATAAACCTATGGGACCATTGAGTTGATTCGACTGTGCTCCTTGACCGTTTCCACCAACAATGACACTTCCCTGTGTGGCTCCTTTTGGCCAACGCATGATTCGATGATTCCCATCATCAGTCACATAGACAGTACCCAATTGATCGACAACGACTCCTTGAGGATGATTCAATTGTGTAAGACTATTTCCTTCTCCTTGACCACCGGCGACGATAATACCTTGTGTTGCATCTTCTTCCCATTTCATTACACGACCATGTCCCGAATCAGACACATAAACTGAATGATCTCGATCGACAAATACGTAGGTAGGCCAAGAGAGTTGATCGAGACGATTTCCTTGTCCATTGCCACCTGCAACTACTGTTCCTTTAGTGTCACCAATTTTATATCGTCTCACTTCATGTTTTTCATCATCAACGACATAGAGAGAACCATTGTCGTCCATTGTCAAACCGTAGCAAGAGATATTTGAAATAATTGTTTCTCCACGAGTACCAATTCGACGAGGCCACCGAACTACTCTGTTATGCCCGCAATCGCTGATGATGAGACTATCACTCTCTTTGTCAATAATCACATCTAATAGGTTGTTTAACTGATGAGCTTCATTTCCATCTCCATTTCCACCAGCAGCTACTTTTCCATTCGTTGCACCAGATTTCCATTCCACAATACGATGATTATAAAGATCAGCGATATAAATCGTTTGATCATCGTCGACGTACAAACCCATTGGAAAATAGAGTTGATTGGTTCCACTGCCATATCCATTTCCTCCGGCAACAGTGATACCATTCTGTGACCATTTTGCATTCGGATGAATATCAATGGAACTTGCACGTAGTGGTACTAAAATGAAACAAAAGTATGAAGTAAAAATAAACATCAATGTCATTAAAATGACTCATTCTCATTTGTTTTAAACAGTATTGAACTGCTCTCAATTACAAAAGCTTTTTACTTATGAACTTGATTAGAATCTGGTTTTCTCAATGTTGAAAACAAAACATTGTTGATTTTTTTCAAATATTTTGTGTAAGAATCCTTAGTTTTACTAAAACTAACTAAAATTTAACTGGTAATGTGAAAAATTGCGATGAACTTGGATTTTATCGTAAATGAAATTTTCTTTTATATCGAATTTTTCAACATATTCACTGATTTCGTTAGTACGAGTTTTGAAATATATTTAGATTTTGCATGTCATCAATTTAAAAATCATTTCATTTTTTTTGTTTGGATTTTACAATAAAATGAGTTATAATAGAATTTGAACGTAAGGAAAAACAATTTTGTTATCAGTTGATAGTAAACAGTGTATGATTTATGTTCGTCACTCATTTCTGAGTGAAATGAGACAAAATAAATTTGCAACTTTTATATGAATTCGTTAAAAACATCATGGTAGACAATAATGATAGTTAATTATACTTAACTACCATGCATAAGACGTTTTTGACTGATTCATATAAAAAAATTATAAATTTTTTGTGTAAGTATTTTTCTTTCTTATTCCATTTACGAATGTGTGACAAATATAAATCATACACGATTCGAAAGTATTTTATGCCATTAAGTTTGCATCATACTTATTATTGAGTAATTTATTCCTGAATCTCAAACAAACAAGTAGTTTGTAGAAAGGCTAATCGAAATGCTAAATAAGATAAGTTTAGATAAAAAATACGTAAGTTCGAATTTTAGTAGATAAGAAGAACTCAAAAACAAATCTTTCCCAAGTTCAAGAATATTTGAAGAATCTGTCATATTCATTATTCTGCATTGTAGCACAAACAATAATCTATATACGAATCAATCAAATCTTTTATTTTGAATTCATTTGTAATGTATTACAAATTGTCAACTTAACAGAGTATGGAACACGTTTTTTTAAACAATAGTAGTTTCGATCACGGGTCGATTTCGAACTTTCTACAATTAAGTATTTTCACTTCTTTACAAGACAATACAAATCTCCTATTGAAACCTTGATCTAAAATCTTTGCAAGTTTGTGTTTTGTAGGTTATTCAATAGGTATAAATTTTTGAGGATTCTCACAAAAAAAACAATGATCGTAAAAGATTTCATCATGATTTTAGCTATTCTCAATAGCAATAAGTGTGAAGATTTCTTCCCTTCAAATTTTTATTGTTGGTCTAGAATTTTCTAAAGGTTGATATTGATATTGATATGAGCTTTAGACTAGAAACAATACTTCTATGATTATATCTTGAATGAACAGTTACAGAACTGATGAAGTTAATAAAAAATGTCATGCAGTTTTATAAACTTCCTAAAAATAATTTAAAATAATTTCATCCTTTTTAATTTATCTATGAACAATCTAGCTATAATCGAGATCTTGATTAAATTTAATACTATTTAATCAATTTTCATTTTTTTTACATGTAATGTCATGTATTTTTAATATGTTTAATGTCTCAATGCAATTGGAAGAAAGTACATTTTAGTATTATTTCTTTTCTTTTCGATCAACAAAAAACAAATACATGTAAAACGGTCTGAGACCTTTGATTATGTGTTAAACAACTCGAAGATGAGAGTCAGAAACAAAACAATACTTTCTGCTTTCTAAATCAAAGAGATTATGAGACATAAAATTCGAATAGATAATTTTGTATTCTACTTATAGATGATGGCATAGAGCTATATGAGATGCTTATTAATATTATGGATTTATTTCAATTAAATCAACCTTCTCAAATATCTCTTATACACATGGAAATAATCAGTCTGATCGGCTACCTTTCTTCGGTTCTTTGCACATAAACTTCAGTCTTATTTTAGAACAAGTACAGTCAACATTTGCTCAATATTTGATATTATATAAAATCCTATTCATTATTTTTCATTTTTCTATATTAATAATATAAATAACAATTAGTTTTAATTTTAATTTTTCTATGTTGGTAATATAGATAACAGTTAGCTTTATTGCTTTTATTTTCTATATCAATAATACAAGAATCTTAATTTTCATTTCTTGTTTTTCTAAATTGGCAGTTTAGAAAATTTTATTTATTATTTTTGATTTTTTATATTGATAATATAGAAAATCTCAATTTTAATTTTTGATATCTCTATAACGATAATATAGAAAATCTTATTTTTGAATTCTTATTGATTGTAATTGATAACACAAATATCAGTTAGTTTTAATTCTTATTTTTCTATATTATCGATATAGAAAAATACAAAATAAAAACTAAGATTTTCTATGTCAACAATGTACAAAAAATAGAGAATAAAACAAATTGTTATCTTTGTTACCAATGTAGAAAAATAAAAAATAAAAAGTAAGATTTTCTATGTTATCAATATAGAAAATAAAAAAAAAAAAAAAAATAGGATTTACTATTTTATCACTACAGAAAAGTGAGAAATACAAGTAACCGTTTTGTACTCTATTAATATAGAAAGGTGAAAAATAAAAATAACCGTTTCCTACACTATTAGTATAGAAAAAGAAGAAAAAAACTGACGTAAACTATTCGAGTCTTTTTCCCAGGTACTGTTCTTCATCGGAAAGCTGATGGAATCAACTATTCTCGAATAAGGAAAAGAACAGAACAGACCATACACGATCAGATGCTAACAGGCAAGACCTACATTATGTACTGTGTATGTTTCTTTTTTTGAATCTTATATGATCTGTTAAAAGATCTGACAATAAGGATGTAGTCTGTCCTAATCAGTGTCTTAATTATTGAGTCTTATAAGATTATTTGCTGATACCGCACAATCAAAATCTGAGAACATCTTTAAAAAAATGAACATATAAGATAATGTTCGATATTGTAACAAGATCATAGAAAAAACCTTATCCCATGTGAAAATTTTTGCCTTTGTAAGCTATTTGCAAGCGGCTTAAAAAGGCTTACACTCCAATAAGCTGCTTACTTTAGCTTAGAAAACGGTTGTTCTAAGCACTTTACAGCGCTTATCATTAAAAATCGCTTAAAAGTGCTGTAAACTTCATTTTTCTAAGCGCTTTTCAGCACTTACCATTAAAATTGCTTAAAAGTGCTGTAAATTTTTATTTTCCTAAGCGCTTTTCAGCACTTACCATTAAAATCGCTTAAAATGGCTATAAATTTTCATTTTTCTAAGCGCTTTTCAGCACTTGCTATGGAAATCGCTTAAAAGTGCTGCAGATTTTGTTATTTCTAAGCATTGTACAGCACTTACACTGAAAATCGCTATGCTTTTTCTTGTATTTAAGTAGGGTGCACGACTTGCAATAAAAAATGCTACTCATTCAGATAAGACTATAGGAAAAAACACGTAAAAACGCGTAAAAAGGGTGAATGTGAATATGAGTGTTATGTGTGTGAGTGGATATGGATGGGCTAAGAGCGAAGGAACATCCACATCATAAATAGACTCGCTATAGAGATGAATGTTATGAGTACTATGTATCAGAATATATTTTATATTAAGAAAGAAAGAAATAGTTGCGTAACAAAAAGAGCAAGCGTAGATGAAGTAGACCAAGTTTAACGCAATTAAAAAAAAATCGTTGACTAAAGTTGAAAGGCTATAGATGATTTATGCTGAGATTACGGCTCAGTTAAATTTTCTTCTATAGCGATTTAGCATAAGCTGCCTTTTCATTTTTAACAAAACTTTTAATGATCCATAGTTAGAGTATTATTCTTATAATATGTTTAATTTATTTCAAGAGTTAGGCTTGAAAAGAACAAAATAGCTTGTGTTTTTGATTGCTTTCGCATTATTTGACTCAATTTTTCTTTAGTTATTGATTTTTGCATAGGCTACCAAGAAATGTTCGTTACTCTGTTCCAAATAACAGCTCAAATATGAATACATTCGTTTAACGAATAACACACTTTAACAATCTTAACCTCTTTTGTTCTTTTCAAAAACAATTCGCGAGTAATATAGATAATAATCATGGTTTTTTCTTTTTATTATTTCCTTCTTTTGTCTATACATATTTTCCCATCTTTTACTTTTTCAACAATTAAACTAATGAATCGTGAGAAAATGTATTTATTTCTTTCTCTATCTTTTATGCTCGTTATGCATCTAATTGATGAACTTATACTGTCACCATAAAGTTGAGCCAAAG